CTCCTCAGGTCAGTCCTGAGTTGAAACACTAAGCTCAGGTTCTTCAGAGCCTGCTAGTAATATGAGCCATGGACTCCTGGGCAGTTGATAGTCCTGTGACCCTGGTCCTCAAGGCCCCCAACCAGAAGTATGAAGACCAGACCATAAACTGCTTCCTCAACTGGACCGTGGAGAGGCTGAAGACTCACATCTCCAACGTGTACCCCAGCAAGCCGGTGAGTAGCTCTCCACCTTCTCTGGTTTCCTTTCGTGTCCAACTTTATTTATATATCACATTTAAAAACCACAGAGTTGACCAAAGTGCTGTATATCAATACATTTATAAATAGCAGTATAAATACATTTAGACAAAACCGATAGGACAAGAAAACAAATGTAAAAGCACGAGTCAATAAAACCGTACTTCTAGCCACAGACTGAAAAACTCCCATACATGAACATTTTAATAGAAAACCCCAATTGCTCCGTGTTTGTGGTTTCTTCTTAGAAATGGTTTTATAAGGTCTTCGTGTCTTAAGAACAGTTTAATCCGGCTCATGTACCCAGAGTGACCCCTTAGAATTATTTGATTGATTATGTTTAGGTGGACATAAAACTAGATGGCTCTGACTAAAATGTCCCAAATAGCATCAATAGCATTGATAAGATTTTAATAATACCGATTGCCTTATTGATTCCTTCGGTTGAAAAAGGGTTCATTCACGCTGATTAGCATGAACCTACTTTTATTATCAGCACTGGCTGTATCTTCAGATCAGTCTAACTCGTCTTAAATGAAATGGTAGAATATTCGTAGCGTGAACGTGTTTGTTTTTCATTGAGGTTTCCTTAGTCAAAAAGACAAAATGCCCTGATATCATTTTAATAAACAAGTTAGAGGAATTAAAGCTACAGGGTTTTTTCAAGAAAAAGATAGTACGAGAGCAATACTGTGGCTGATCTTGTATATAAGATATATCATAATGACGCCCGAATACAAGATGGCGCCGCGGACGTAAACAACAACGCGACGTTCAAGCTCCGTAAACACAAAGCCGTCTGACGGTCTATTTGACATATTGTAATGTTTTTTGAGTAATTATAACGTTTTTGACGAACAGAAATATTGTTTTCTGGCATCAGTCAAACTTTGGAAATTGGCACCGTGGTAAGAGGGTGCGTGTGATTTGAAGTAAATGGACAACTAGGAACAGGTTCTCTTAACAACTTATTCTGGATACCCATTACTGACTAATAATTCTGTTTTATTTATAAATGTTCTATTCTATTATGCTGGGGCGGTGGTGGCGAAGTCGATAGGGACTTGGCTTGGCAACTGGAAGGTCACCAGTTCAAGTCCCGGCAAGACCAAGTGCTACCGAGGTGTCCCTGAGCAAGGCACCGTTCCCCACACTGCTCCCCGGACGCTGTTCAAAATGGCAGCCCACTGCTCCTAACACTAGGATGGGTCAAATGCAGAGAATCAATTTCCCCACGGGGATTAATAAAGTATATCAATATCAATTTCAGTTTCTCAAGTGATTGATTAAACGGCTATTCTCCAAAACAGTTAAACCAATGCAACACATTTCCTAGAGTTCTTCAAATGTATTGTTTTGCCGTCAGTCCAGCAGTCCAAAACCAACAGATATTTTATTCAAAATGATGTTAGACAAGGAAAAACATACATTTCTCACATTTGTTAACGCTGGAACCAAACGGATGTCGTATTTTCTTGAAAATGTTAGCATGCTGTTAATGTTCTGTTCGATGTACTCACCATTTCAGCTCTAAACTCAGCTGTTGTTTTACTGTGAGGAAAAATACTTTTCAAACCAGTCCTGCAGCATAATCCACTTCCTGTACGCTCAGAAGGTTCCAAACAATCAGTAACACTCAACACAATGCCGCTGTCTTTATTCTCAGTGTAGAGGTCGTTCGCAGGTGCTTTGTGTTGGTTTGTCGGGCCTCCTGCTCACACATCATTTAAAAACAATATCCTCTGTAGGTAATTATTCATCAAATGCTCACCTTAGTTTACATATACAGTTTCTTTCTACACCTTAAACATCTCTGCAGAATCTTCAACATGTGTGTATCTGTATTGCAACACACCCTTTAAAGGTATTTCTGTTTCGTTTTGTCATCATAACAAGAAGACACAGATACAAAGCTTTGACACCCTAGCAACAGTAACGGGTATTCAAATGTCAGTGAAGGTTTGAGCCCCAACTAGTTTGTTTGTGTACAAATAATCAGATGGTGCTGCAAAGGAGAAAGGAGCTTATTAGTGATAAAAGCCAACGCACCTTAATACAATCATTCATTTGTATTTGTCTGCTATCGTGGGAAAGTGTCCTTTGGAACGTGACATGCAGCACAGAGCCTTGTGAAGCACAGAGATGATTTCCCAGCTAATGTAATTCAAACGTGCCTCGTATCGTGTTACAACCTCCACACAGCAACAACCTCTCCCGCACACAGCTGCAAATGGAACGGCCCGTCCACACAGCGGCGTGCGTTGAAAGCTTCACCATTCACTTTACGCCGAACTGCATTGTGGGACGCGACGCAGAGCTTTGCTGGCGTGGTTCGCTGCAAAAGTTGAGCAATGTTCATTTTGTGAAGCCTCGGCAGAAGCGTCAGCCAATCGAATCGTATGCCAGTACAAGCTCTAGCCGATGAAACCGCTGCTTGTGTGTCAGGGGCGGGAGATTCATGTGATTGGTTGTTGGTCGAGTTTCAGACACGCCCGCCGGCAAGCGTCAACGCACGCCGCTGTGTGGACGGGCCGTAACAGATGAACATGTTTTGGTTTCAAAGGGCTGATGTTTCTGATCAGCGATGACACAGAGACATTTTGGACCTCACAAAACCCTCCATGTTGAAGCAGTTCTGATGTTTATGATCATATAACTTGATATTCATCGGCACATGGAGTTTGTCCTGCTTCTTATGAAATTGTCACCTTCAAATGTATTATCTGCAGAGCACAGAGCAGGGTTTTACTCGAGGCTTTATTATGACCTTGGAGACACTTTGAACATTTGTTGTATTTGAGGTTTTTACTCTGAGGCCTTTTTTCTACACGGCAGAACCCCCCTTATCTGGTTACACGGTGAAGAAAGGATTGTTATGTGGAAATGATAGAAGGACCAACGAGTGGCCTAAATGCACTTCTTATTCCTTAGTCTCACCTTCATGTTGTTTGTGTTGCAGCTGTCCAAAGACCAGCGGCTGGTTTACTCAGGAAGACTCCTGCAAGACCACCTGCAGCTCAAAGACGTGCTCAGAAAGGTAAGAGCTGCTGAGATCTGATGTGTTTCCTGCAGGTCCACTTATGGAAGGGAGAAACATCAATTCAATAGTTTTGCAGCTCACCCAAATATATTTTCCCAATATCCCCCCAAAAAGTTTTTAGTTCTTTAAATGTTTTATTTTTGATGGAGAACACGCAGCTCTGCATGATCACAGCTCCCCCGCTGTGACGGACCGTTGAGTGGAGCAAAATACACTAAGAGTTAGACCTAACACACTAAGCGAGTTTATCTACTCTGGAACTAGCTAAACTAGTTATAAATATATGTATTCTTTACTGTCGGGTCACTCATTACAGGTTCAGCGAGCTGCACGAGACTGACGGGCTGTCAGGAGAGGGAGAGGAAAAGAGAGCACCCCGTTTATTTTCCCATTTTATTATCCAGAGTTTCTGTAAACCTTTGAATAAAGTAGTTCATCTACTAGTAGTAGTTTGTTTAAATGCATTACTTATGTTTTTTTTTCCCGTTAATTAAAAAATAAATCTCACGTACCCCCTGCAGTACTCCAACGTACCCCTAGGGTCCGCGTACCCCCATTTCAGAACCGCTGCCCTAAGGAATCAAATAGCTTGTCCAAAATATACATTTAAAAATCATGTCTGACTGAATAGCTGACACATTAGAGGAGCTTGGAACAGAAGTCACGTGTCTGAGTCTGTGGGGGAAATGAAACCATCTGCCAAGGAAACGAAAGCTGTTCTGATGCGTTGGACCAACAAAGGAGGAGTGTTGTGTCTGACGTGTCCATACTAATCCTTCTCTCCTCCTCCTCTCCTCCTCCTCCTCCTCCTCCTCCTCTCCTCCTCCTCCTCCTCCTCCTCCTCCTCCTCCTCCTCCTCCTCCTCCTCCTCCTCCTCCTCTCGTGCCCTGACCATGTCGATCTGCAGCAGGATGAATACCACATGATGCACCTGGTGTGTGCCTCTCACACCCCCCCGGCCTCGCCCTCCCCCCGCAGCCCCTCCACGGCCAACTCTTCTGCTCCTGACTCCAGCGTGAGTGCATGCACACACACACACACACACACACACACACACACACACACACACACACACACACACACACACACACACACTGCTCTGTGTTTACCTTTCTTATAGGGCTCAAACAATGTGTGTGTGTGACAGTCGAGGCTTGTTAGCAGTGTTGTTTATCCTTAGACAAACATCCGTGTTGATTTGGAGCTCTGTGTTGTGTTGAACTCAGATAAACCCTATCTTCAAAATCCTGTTTGTTTTAAACCTTAAGAAAATGTATACGTCACCTTTTTTTTCTCAACTGTTTTTATGATTTTGCATTTATACTGAGCACAGAGCAGAGCAGATGTATAGATACAAAGAATCGTACGTACATCGATAGCAATACATTTATACTGCAATTAATAATTATATACCAATTACGGTACATTTAATATGCACATATACACCCAGCCAAATCAATAAATAATACACATTTAATTAGATCAAATAAAAGGGAACAGGGGGCTCCATGCAGTCAGACCGGCACAGGGGGATTTAGTTAAAAGAATCCAGGAAAGGCATCCATCATTTACGATATCTCAGCTCTTTAATATTGTAAGTGTGTCATTGCACCCCTCATCCAACGGGCGCGTGATGGTGGATTCCTGTCTTTTCACTTGAGAAGAATTAGACGGCGGGCAAAACTTGGCCTTTAAAAAAACAAACAGATTTTGACTATAAGGGACGTTTTTTAACGGTAAATGGACTGTACTTTTATAGCGCTTTATCAGGTCTTTCCGGCCCCTCGTGAAGTGCTTTACGTGCTACGAGTCATTCACACCTCATTCATGCAGAGCAGTACCACTTGCTCTAGGGAAGCTAATGGCGCATTTCCACTACAGCGCGGTTTAAGCGAGTATGCTAGACTAGTGAGAGAATCGCTGGCAACTACAACAAAATGAACATATTTTACCGTGATTTGATTGTAATATGGGAGGCATGTGGCGCAGTGGACTAGTGCGTTGCTGTTGGGCTCAGGGGAGCACAGGTTCAAACCCCACTGCAGTCAGCATGTCGTTGTGTCCCTGAGACACTTCACCCCAAATTGCTCCTGTGGGAATTTTCCACAGTATTGAGTATGTAGTCGCTTTGGATAAAAGCGTCTAACAAGTGACATGTAATGTAATACACGTTTCAAAATGATGCCGAAGTAACAACATACTGATACCGGTTAGTAAAAACCATGAAATAATGCTTTGACAAGTCTGCAGACAGACGGCAGAGAAAAACCTTTTAAAATGCGTGTTTTCTGAAAGCTAACGCAGTATATGCTCCGACCGTCCACACTCACAACAACGGCCTACAGACATAAATAAACCAGCGACTGTATTCTCCATGACACAGGCAGTCTGTGGTTTGAACTTGTTTAACTTTTGTCTAGTTTCTGAACAGATATGAGGAGCTGTGAGCTCTGAGTGCTAAGAGCTAACGGCTGATGTTGGTTTTGTGGTTCTCATTGAAGATGACGTCACGGCTCCGCCTACACTGCGTTACTATAGTTACCGCCCCAGTTGCTAAACTGTAATGGAAACGCAGCATAAAGTGAGCCTGGCCTACCAAGGCCTAACTATACCGTACTAAGCTGAGCGAGGCCCTGCAGTGGAAAAGCGTCATAACATTCACACTCCGTTGGCCATCGGGATTAACTCAGGGTTTAGTATCTTGCCCAACGATACATCGACATGTTGTCTGCATGGGCTGGGATCGAACCCACAACAGCACTCCCTCACAGCCACAGTCACCCTATATCTGACCTCAGACAGCCAACATAACTAGTGCAGAAGTGATATTTGTAGGGATGTAATAAAATGTCATCAGAATCAGATTGTTATCTGTGCCGATACCGACCTTACTATGTGTTTGCAGTGACACTACCTTGTTCAAACTGGCTTCATGTTCTATTTGAACACGCCTTTATAACACATTGTATTGTCTGTGTATTGATTATTTAATTGTGCAGCAATGTGCCCTTCCCAGCTCCTAATGACTGTTACATTTCTTATCTCCAGAGTTCAGACGGTGCCAGCTCTGCCTCCGCTGCCAGTTCCTCCTCTTCCTCTTCCGTCCCAGGAAGTTATGATGGCCTGAGGTATCGCGGCGGCGGCTTCCCCCAGTCCAACCCTCAGAGCCCCGCTGGAGTCCCTCAGTGGTGAGCAAGCCTCTGACTCCACAATATACGATAATACTTTATTGGTCAGATCAAGTCTGAAATGTGACTTGCATCACAGCAGCTCCATGTGTAACATCAACAGACACGATACACGAAAAACCAACGTATGGTTTGCATTTTGTAATACCTTGCCGTTTGCATGGCAATTGCCTTCATCATTTCAAGTCTGTTTAATTGTTTGAATGTTTGTGTGGATAATCAGGAGTGCAAACTAACAAGGCAGACAGAATATGTTGTTGTTGTCATTAGACTGTTTGTTTTGTGTTGACTCATAAAATAACGGACACTTCGCCAATCTGCTTTCTGTTCTAGCGTTCCTTTGTCCGAACCAATTGAGGGTTTTTTATGTGACAGCTTTTGTCTTGTTTTGTTTTTTTGTCCATTTGAGTATTGACCCAAATGTGTTCATTTCAAGGCATACGGCAGACAGAATATGTTGTTGTTGTCATTAGACTGTGTGTGTGTTTGTTTTGACACATTTAATAACAGACCTGTTATTCCTCCCCAGGCCTGACGGAGCGCAGGTCCCGTTGCAGGGCGACCTCCCCGCCAACATGCCCCCCCACCCCATGTACATGCCCATGCAGATGCTGTGGTGGCAGCAGATGTACGCACGCCACTACTACATGCAGTAGTAAGTGATTCAAGATTCAAGGGTTTTGTTGTCATGTGTGCATAGCTACAGTGTAGTTACGTCTCTTTCTCTTACTTTTAAAGTGTTGAATCATTTGAAATGAAACCGAATCTGTATATTTGAAGGAATACACCTCAGATTGATCTTTCGTACATACATTTTTTCCATTGTGTTATCTTGAATTTGCGATGTAACGTTTTTTCTTTCTGTCATGCCTCCACGGTGAACAAAAAACCTGCAAACATTAAAATAAATGCTATGAGTAAATAGACCGTGTTTAATAACAGCAAATCTATATTTCAAATCTATATCAAGTCTCATTTATCCAGTTCCTAAAAACACACTTTTACTAAAACCCTACTATTTTAAGCACTTCCGGGTAAACAGTTTCACACGTTCTGCTTTCTCAGTCACAAGTACTGTTCCAGTCTTTTTAAATAGTAATGTAATCATTTGAAGGTAACACGGGGTGATTAACTGAAACGTCTTTTGTAGATCAGTCCTTCTTTAAGTTGAGTTATTGATACTTTTATTTGCTTCTAATTACTTGACTCCTCTTTCCAGAGATGGCAAAAGTACACGCATCCTTAGTACAGATACTCGTGTTTAAAAATACTCTGGTAGAAGTACTGACTAACTCCTTTACTCAAGTCAAAGTAAAGAGGCTTTGAAATGTACTTCAGTAAAAAGTACCCATAACTAGCAGCTGCTTTTAAAGAGTACCTGACCTCCCTTTATATTAATAGAACAATAATGTCATTGTTAGCTAATGAATGTTTCCATGCTGAACAACGGCAACATGACAACGTTTCCATTGGTCCCTCTTCTTTAGAGAAGACCAGGAAATGATGGATACACGGATCGTGTTCAAATCAATAGGCACGCAATGACTCTAAAGAATAATGATCACGCACCAAACACACATTCAGACTAAAGGAACCAGCTGTTTGGAAAATGAGAGAAGTAGAAAGTACAGGTATTTGAGTTCAACATGTAAGAAGTAGAAAGTACAGGTATTTGAGTTCAACATGTAAGAAGTAGAAAGTACAGGTATTTGAGTTCAACATGTAAGAAGTAGAAAGTACAGGTATTTGAGTTCAACATGTAAGAAGTAGAAAGTACAGGTATTTGAGTTCAACATGTAAGAAGTAGAAAGTACAGGTATTTGAGTTCAACATGTGAGAAGTAGAAAGTACAGGTATTTGAGTTCAACATGTAAGAAGTAGAAAGTACAGGTATTTGAGTTCAACATGTAAGAAGTAGAAAGTACAGGTATTTGTGTTCAACATGTAAGAAGTAAGAAAGTACAGGTATTTGAGTTCAACATGTAAGAAGTAGAAAGTACAGGTATTTGAGTTCAACATGTAAGAAGTAGAAAGGAAAGTACAGGTATTTGAGTTCAACATGTAAGAAGTAGAAAAGTTACAGGTATTTGAGTTCAACGTGTAAGAAGTAGAAAGTACAGGTATTTGGGTTCAACGGTAAGAAGTAGAAAGTCACAGGTATTTGTGTTCAACATGTAAGAAGTAGAAATACAGGTATTTGGGTTCAACATGTAAGAAGTAGAAAGTACAGGTATTTGAGTTCAATGTAAGAAGTAGAAAGTACAGGTTTGTGTTCAATCATGTAAGAAGTAGAAAGTAACGGTATTTGTGTTCAACATGTAAGAAGTAGAAAGTACAGGTATTTGGGTTCAACATGTAAGAACGTAGAAGTACAGGTATTTGAGTTCAACATGTAAGAAGTAGAAAAGTACAGGTATTTGGGTTCAACCTGTAAGAAGTAGAAAGTACAGGTATTTGAGGTTCAACATGTAAGAAGTAGAAAGTACAGGTATTTGAGTTCAACATGTAAGAAGTAGAAGTAAGGTATTTGAGTTCAACATGTAAGAAGTAGAAGTACAGGTATTTGGTGTTCAACATGTAAGAAGTAGAAAGTACAGGTATTTGTGTTCAACATGTAAGAAGTAGCAAGTACAGGTATTTGTGTTCAACATGTAAGAAGTAGAAAGTACAGGTATTTGAGTTCAACATGTAAGAAGTAGAAAGTACAGGTATTTGAGTTCAACATGTAAGAAGTAGAAAGTACAGGTATTTGTGTTCAACATGTAAGAAGTAGAAAGTACAGGTATTTGTGTTCAACATGTAAGAAGTAGAAAGTACAGGTATTTGTGTTCAACATGTAAGAAGTAGAAAGTACAGGTATTTGTGTTCAACATGTAAGAAGTAGAAAGTACAGGTATTTGTGTTTCAACATGTAAGAAGTAGAAAGTACAGGTATTTGTGTTCAACATGTAAGAAGTAGAAAGTACAGGTATTTGAGTTCAACATGTAAGAAGTAGAAAGTACAGGTATTTTGTGTTCAACATGTAAGAAGTAGAAAGTACAGGTATTTGAGTTAACATGTAAGAAGTAGAAAGTACAGGTATTTGGGTTCAACATGTAAGAAGTAGAAAGTACAGGTATTTGGTTCAACATGTAAGAAGTAGAAAGTACAGGTATTTGAGTTCAACATGTAAGAAGTAGAAAGTACAGGTATTTGGTGTTCAACATGTAAGAAGTAGAAAGTACAGGTATTTGGGTTCAACATGTAAGAAGTAGAAAGTACAGGTATTTGTGTTCAACATGTAAGAAGTAGAAAGTACAGGTATTGGGTTCAACATGTAAGAAGTAGAAAGTTACAAGGTATTTGGGTCAACATGTAAGAAGTAGAAAGTACAGGTATTTGAGTTCAACATGTAAGAAGTAGAAGTACAGGTATTTGAGTTCAAAGTAGAAGAGTAGAAAGTACAGGTATTTGTAGTTCAACATGTAAGAAGTAAGAAGTACAGGTATTTGAGTTCAACATGTAAGAAGTAGAAAGTTACAGGTATTTGAGTTCAACATGTAAGAAGTAGAAAGTACAGGTATTTGATGTTCAACATGTAAGAAGTAGAAAGTACAGGTATTTGAGTTCAACATGTAAGAAGTAGAAAGTACAGGTATTGTGTTCAACATGTAAGAAGTAGAAAGTACAGGTATTTGTGTTCAACATGTAAGAAGTAGAAAGTACAGGTATTTGGGTTCAACATGTAAGAAGTAGAAAGTACAGGTATTTGGGTTCAAAATGTAAGAAGTAGAAAGTACAGGTATTTGAGTTCAACATGTAAGAAGTAGAAAGTACAGGTATTTAAGTTCAAAATGTAAGAAGTAGAAAGTACAGGTATTGAGTTCAAACATGTAAGAAGTAGAAAGTACAGGTATTTGAGTTCAAAATGTAAGAAGTAGAAAGTACAGGTATTTGAGTTCAAAATGTAAGAAGTAGAAAGTACAGGTATTTGGGTTCAACATGTAAGAAGTAGAAAGTACAGGTATTTGAGTTCAACATGTAAGAAGTAGAAAGTACAGGTATTTGAGTTCAACATGTAAGAAGTAGAAGTACAGGTATTTGTGTTCAACATGTAAGAAGTAGAAAGTACAGGTATTTTGTGTTCAACATGTAAGAAGTAAGAAAGTACAGGTATTTGGTTCAACATGTAAGAAGTAGAAAGTACAGGTATTTGGGTTCAACATGTAAGAAGTAGAAAGTACAGGTATTTGTGTTCAACATGTAAGAAGTAGAAAGTACAGGTATTTGGGTTCAACATGTAAGAAGTAGAAAGTTACAGGTATTTGAGTTCAACATGTAAGAAGTAGAAAGTACAGGTATTTGGTTCAACATGTAAGAAGTAGAAAGTACAGGTATTTGGTTCAACATGTAAGAAGTAGAAAGTACAGGTATTTGAGTTCAACATGTAAGAAGTAGAAAGTACAGGTATTTGGGTTCAACATGTAAGAAGTAGAAAGTACAGGTATTTGTGTTCAACATTGTAAGAAGTAGAAAGTACAGGTATTTGTGTTCAACATGTAAGAAGTAGAAAGTTCAGGTATTTGGTTCAACATGTAAGAAGTAGAAAGTACAGGGGTATTTGAGTTCAAAATGTAAGAAGTAGAAAGTACAGGTATTTGGGTTCAACATGTAATGAAGTAGAAAGTCCAGGTATTTGAGTTCAACATGTAAGAAGTAGAAAGTACAGTATTTGAGTTCAACATGTAAGAAGTAGAAGTACAGGTATTGAGTTCAACATTGTAAGAAGTAGAAAGTACAGGTATTTGAGTTCAACATGTAAGAAGTAGAAAGTACAGGTATTTGAGTCAACATGTAAGAAAGTAAGAAAGTACAGGTATTTGTGTTCAACATGTAAGAAGTAGAAAGTACAGGTATTGGGTTTTCAACATGTAAGAAGTAGAAAGTACAGGTATTTGGGTTCAACATGTAAGAAGTAGAAAGTACAGGTATTTGGGTTCAACATGTAAGAAGTAGAAAGTACAGGTATTTGGGTTCAACATGTAAGAAGTAGAAAGTACAGGTATTTGGGTTCAACATGTGAGAAGTAAAAGTAAAAAGTGGTCAGAAAAATAAGTAGTGGAGAAAAGTACTGATATCAGAACGATGTACTTAAATAAAGTAACGAAGTATTTGTACTCCACTACTTCCCCCTGACTCCTCTTTCCCTCTCCTCCTCTCTCTCCAGTCAAGCAGCAGTAGCCGCCTCCCAGCCTCCCAGCGAGCCCCCTCCCTCCCCCCCCTCCTCCTCACCCCATCAGCCAGCCCAGCCTAATGAAGCCGTGCAGCCCAACCCCCCGCTGGGACCCAACCCGGCCCCCAACCCGCTGCCCGAGAACCAGCCGGCCAACCCCAACATCCAGATGAACGCGCAGGGCGGCGCGGTGATGAACGACGACGAGCTGAACCGTGATTGGCTGGACTGGCTTTACACGGTGTCACGCGCCGGAGTGCTGCTCAGCATCGTCTACTTCTACTCCTCCTTCAGCCGCTTCGCCATGGTGGTGGGGGCCATGCTGCTCGTATACCTGTGAGTCACCTGGGTTTAAAGAGGAATATTTGTCTTAATGTACATTATTTGATTTCATATTCTGTCCTTGTACAGGTTTAGGGTTAGGGTTGTGCATATGACAATAAAACCTTTGAATCTTGAATATTTGTACATTTCTCACACCTCATTCAGTCTGTAGTCGGACCGAGTGTTCACGGCAAAGCTTAGGTCCCACCTGTTGTTCTTTATGAGTTCAACTTGTTCATGTGTGGAAGGGTTTTTAAAGAGCATTGAAGTCAAGTCTGAGAGTTTGCTGACGTTTGTGTTTCTCCTCCAGGCATCAGGCCGGTTGGTTTCCCTTCAGGCCGGATCAGCAGAACGTCGGAGGAGGAGGAGGAGGAGCAGCTGCGCCTCGAGAGGAAGCAGAGAGACACCAAGACATACAGGAAATGGTGAGCTGAAGAATGTCCCTTAACCTGCTTAAGTTCATTTAGAATTGTTTTGGTAATGTTCAAAGTTACACAACTAGGAACTCCCACCCCCCACGTCATAACTCCGCCAGTCTGTCTGCTTTCTGTTCTGTAGTTTCTTTGTCCGAACCAATTGAGGGTTTTTTATGCGACTGCTTTTGTAAAGTGTGCTCGTAGTGTGTCCGTTTGAGTATTGACGCCAAATATGTATATATGTTCATTTGAATTCATTTCTTATTGTTACTTAACTGTATATCATTTTATTTGTCTTTAATTGTATGAATCTGTGCTGTCCTGTTTTTCAATCTTACCCTGTTGCTGTTAAACTACTTAATTTCCCCACAGGGATTAATAAACGTCCATCTTATCGTATCTCGTAAAGTGCTGTATAAATTAAATGACAAACGTTATAATAATAATAATACATTTGATTTAAGGCGCCTTTCACACCCAAGGACACCGTACAGTTTGGTAAAAGCAACAGAACATGATAAAACACAAACATACCATCATGGAGAAGACAATTAAAGTGGACACACATGATAGGGACAGGTGATTCAGGGGAGACAGACGATAGGGAGCACTACAGTGAGTAGGCTTATCTGAACAGGTGGGTTTTGAGGAGGGTCTTGAATGTGGTGATTGTGTCAGACTGTGGGATGTGAAGGGGGGGGAGAGTTCCAGAGTTTAGGAGCCCCCATATATGTTATGATCACGTCGTATAGCATCTCATCTTCATTGTTGTGTGTGTCTCAGGAGCGTCTGATGGACGAGGGTCTGGAGGAGGAGGACAGCGTGGAGGAGGGGGGGGGAGTCGCAGAGGACCAGGCTGCTGCTGCCCCCCCCGAGCCTCCCTTCCTCTCCACCGCCTGGTCCTTCATCAGCACCTTCTTCACCTCGCTCATCCCCGACGGACGACCCCAACCCGCCAACTAGGCAGACCCGCCCTCTGCCTCCCTCCTTCTGAAAGCAGGCACCTCTCTACAGAAGTATCTCCAGAAATGCCCCCAAAATACCCCCCCAAAACCCTCAGATACACTTTTATCAGAGACTGTCGGATACCATGCTCCGACATGCTGCCAACTAATGGACCGATGTGTAAGATAAAGCTCCTCTGAAATGTGAGAGCAGTGTGTAAAGAATAAAGGAATATATAGAAAGTGAATCTCACGTTGTGTTGGTGGAGTAAGTGCTGCAGCAGTGAAAGTGTTTTTCTTTCATTGAGATGTCGTGATGAAGGTGAGAAAAAGGAGCTGTCTTCCATTTTAAGATTCATGCTTCGGAAACTTTTGAAAAAGGGTTGTGACACCCCCACCCCACAAAAAAAGAAACCTCCCCTCCATTTCAGGGAGATTCATGAGAACATAACATCCCTGCTGACTATGTGCGTAACGACATTGCAGCTGCTGAAGCACATTGTTTTCCAACTGTGTGTATTTGAACATTATTTACACATGTAAGTATATGCATCTTTAACTCCTCAATATATGCTTTTTTTGAATAAAAATGTTGCTGCGGTTACCACGGTCTGATGTGTTTCACTTCCTGTTATTCAACCCTGATGTCCTGCAGGTGGCGCTGCTCACACACTTATGGTGAAGTGTCTGAAGTAGTTGCTGATTTAAATTCCTTATACGGGACATTCAATAGTTTTCAAGCACACACTTTGGTGAGTCTTTAAGTTTAGTGCGTCTATACTTTTGATTTACATACACTTTTTAACATTTCCATATTTCCGTCATATTGTTTCCACCACTCAGAGACTTTGAAACTGACTTCTTAAAAATGATAAATGGCATATAATTATTATCAGTGTCAATAATAACAATCTCCTTTAATTTACAATAAGCTGTTTCTAAAATGCAGGCAACACAAGAAAGGAAATATTAAAACACAAAGCAGTTTCGACTGGACAAATGAAAATAAAATACTTACTGCTATAGTTAACCATGTATGCATGTATTTATATTATTTGTGGATGTCTTACAGTCTCCAGAGATGTAATATTGTTTGAATTGAAGGATTCAACAGTGCAGTATATAAACACAGGCTTAATGCTGCTGCGTTGCCTGCGTCTTCACTAGGAAGTTGCCCTTGAACACACGACAATACTCCATACAAGCTTGTGGTGATAGGTCATCCCCATTCAAACGAGGAAAGCGTTTAGTCACTGTTATTCAAAGCAACTTACAACATGTACCATGAGGATAGAAACTTGGTACAGCAAAAATCTTGCAAATACATTCAAATAGTCCAAATATTTGTAATCATTCCATACTGGAATGGAAATTTCACTTTTTTAGCCTAGAACGTCTACAAAAGATTCTACCAGGTCCCAAAAATAGGTTTTCGTGAATTTTTTAGTGTGTGCGCGTGCGAAGTGCGCCCCGCCAATTTGTTTCTATGTGTCTGCCAGCACAAGAAAGGCTCTTGAGGCCTAGTACCAGGGCCGGTTCTAGCCAATTTGCTGCCCTATGTGAGATTTTATAAAGAATAAATGAAAAATCTCTACAAAAGACAAATACACTACAAAAACAGAAACTTATTGACATCGGTAATATACGTCAAAATGGCTTCAAATGTATTCAGTATTGTGTGAACATGTTTTAATTGGGGGGTGGACATCACCTCCTCTAGGGGGGTGTCTCTGGTGCACTTTGAGCACACACTTACTAGAGACCTGATCTAGGGGGTACAACTCTAAAACACCCATATGAAAAAGATCGGTTTACATTTTAATATCCAAATAAGTATATGAACATAACCAATCACCTACCATAGCCAATAACAAATAAATGTAACTTATTTTATTTTTGTTGTTCATTCATATCTTATTTTAGTTAACATTTATTTATTCGTGCATATTTTTGTATCTCTCCAACTTTAAACGGTATTTTTGGTTTACTATATATATTATACATTGGAATGATTTCAAACCTGTTTTTATTTATCCTAATAATTATAAAGGAGTGCCTTGGAAATATGTGTTTACATCATTTGTGGTCAAAACGTTTGAGACCCTCTGAGATAACTTAGACTAAAATTAACTATCTATTCTAAACACTCAGAGAGTCCTTTACCTCACTGAGCCTCTCAGTCTGACAGGAGAGCTCTCCTCCACCCTGGTTGTAGAAACATCTACTTCTTATATCCGTTAGCGCAGCTAGCACCAGATTCTAATAACAACAGCGCTGGTACCGGTGTGCCCTCTCTCTCTCTCCCTCGCTCGCTCTCTCGCTCCCACGCTCGCACTTTGGCTGTGAGCTGCAGGCTCCTGATAAGCCAACATCCCCCACTTTCATCACTTACAGCGCCCATCGTACAGGGCAAATGAAATGTGTAACCGGGGTGAAAAGGGTGTTACATTTACTTAATTATGAATGTTGTTACATCAAGGCCGAAAATTAGGATGAGCGCCAACGGTCAAAAATGTTTTTTCCCCTCCCAGAACTGCCAGCGCAGCGCCCCCTGATCTGGCACCCTAGGCGACCGCCAAAAATCGGCCCTGCCAGTACAGTGGCAATGTCTCAAGATTTAGCAAAAATACACCTGTATTGAACATACAGTAACACAAATACTACAAATCCACATAACAAACAATCAAAAATGAAAAAGGGTTGCCACTTATTATTATTTAAAAAAAAATATATTTGTACATAGGGGAAAACACTGGTGTATACTAAGCAACTTTATTTCTGAGAGTTTAGAAAAAGGAAGTATGGGGGTGTTTCATTGACTTCTTATTCTTATCCAGCTTAATGGTGCTTTACCAGCTTTTTCTGTTCCAAGTGTGGATCAGACAATACGCTTTGGTTCACAATCTAAATCCCTTTACAATAATAATAATAAAATACATAAATACACCTCAAATCCTATGAAACCCCCCGTACTCCTTAAGAAATATCACAGTGCCTAACCTCCCTAACTCATACTCCTTTTAAATTGAGATCCTTTACTCCTTAAAATGATTCCTAAATATCTCTTTGTGTTACATATTTTCTACATCTCAGTAATGCTACTGACTCCTCCTCCTGACATTTCCTATCAGTTTTAATGTTTTATTTAGTGCACAGTGCCTTCATCTCCACCTAGTCAACACTGTTTCTTGTCTCCTATATCCACTACTTGTATTGACTTCACCTGCAGAGAACTGTCTTGTATCATTTTCTTTTCTGTGTTGACCTTCATCAAAACAGTCACACATTTTGTACAGAATTTGAGAAGTAGGTGTATTATACCCTTGGGTTTTAAAAGAGAGTTAGAGTTTAGTCTCTGTTGCATGTTACAGTGCAACATGCTCAGGCTGACACTCCCACAGAGGTGAGTGGAGGAGCATCTCAGACAGCGATGCACTTCAGAGTCCTCCAAACCCCCTAATCAAATGACCATGGATTTTTGTGTAGTTGGTCGTAGAAGGCCCAATTAATTATGCATGACAGCGGCTTGACGGCCATTTGATTTCGTTACGCTCGCCCCCTCCGAGCCGCCGATCCAATCAGGTTAGGACCCCCTTCTCTCTCTCTTTCTTTCCCTTATCGGAGGGGGAGATTTCTTTAAGAGGGTGTTTGGGGTCTTGTAGGACATTTCATCATCATAATAAGTCCTTGATATGCAGACTGTTTCCCTGCTATCAGGCCTTGTTGTCTTTGGAGGCAGCAGTTGGGCTGGACACATGCCACGGAGATACACTGACATTATTAAATGAATTGAGGGAGAAAAGGAGGGGGGGAGAGTGTGACACCTGTAAGGACGAGATGCTGATGCACTGGAGCACCTGCTTTCAGTAAGGGTTCCCTCACTGAGCAGACACACCGTCATGTTTAGATGAAAACAAGATGCTCTCGCAGATATATTTGGCTATTTCTCACAATATCTGAGCTGAAAGGATGTAGATAAATACAGAAATGGTGCCCCAGTGGCCCAATGGCTAAGGCAGTGGCCTCCTAAGCCAGGGATTGTGGGTTCGAGTCCCATCTGCGGTGACTGCTCTGTGGATCAGGGGGGAAATCACTGTCTACCAATCAGAGGGTCAGCGGTTTGATTACACGTGTGTTGTAGGTGTTTCCGTCTAGCAGCACTCTCTCCATAAGAAGAGCTTTATGCAAGTATTTCCACCTGTAGAGTTGAATTATTGTTTTATTCAAGTTTGTTTCCATTTCACTTAGTTTTTGTTGACGTTTCTGTGATATTTTTGTTTCTCTACTATTTTCTCAACCCTCGTAAAAATAATTATAGAAAATAAGAGAAGTTTTTACTCTTCAAAATAAATTACCAGATAAGGTTTAGTGTCATCTAGTGGTGAGGTTACAGATTGCGACCCACTGAACACCCCTCCACTCACTTCTTCTCTAAATGTGTTGAAGATGCTACTGGGCCACCACCGGTAACGTAAACGTGAAAAGCCCTCTCTAGATTTGTGTCCCTCCTGAGCTAGAAACGTGGCCGTGCAACATGGCTAACTTTGTAGAAGACTCTCTGTGTAGATATGTAGGGCTCATTCAAGCTAAAGAAAACACATCTATTCTAAAAATCCAGTGTAGCTTGTAGGCAGGGGCGAACTGGCCATTGGGAATACCGGGAGTTTTCCCGGTGGGCCGGTACCGAAGTGGGCCGGTTGGACAATTCACTAGCACCCCACCACCCCCCGTTGACAATTGACTAGCGGTACCGAGTTGGGCCGGTCGGACGGTCGAGTTTCCCGGGCTGATTTTTAGTCCCAGTCCGCCCCTGCATGTAGGTGATATTTAATAACTTGTAAAGTGGAGTTTCTTGGCTGGCTCTGACACTAAAAGGAAAAATACTTCTCTGATCTTTTGGTCGACGTGATCCTCCGACTGACTACTGTCGAAAACGTAGAAAATGTTTGAGAAACCTAGAAATGTAACGTAATTATCTTGTTATTCAAATGATTACCAAACGTAACTGCTTCCGTATCAAAACAGCTTGGGTTTCCTTCATTAGCTTAACCTTGAATTAGACTTTTTTGCAGTGCAGAGAGTTGTACACGGTGTCTGTCTCTCTGAGTATTTGTACGACAGGAAGAGGATTATTTCTCTCTACATTTATTAAAATATACATCTGTGAACACTTCTCTATGCCAAGATAAGCCGGTCACCTGACACAGGTGCGGCACATGAAGATGCTGATAAACAGCACCATTACACAGGTGGGCCTTGGGCTCTTCAAAATAAAAGCCCACTCAGTGTACATGTGTGAATAGCAGAATAGTGTTAATTTCGTTGACTAAATCTATGACGAAATATGTTCGTCAACGACCTTTTTTTCCATGACGAAAACGAGACGATGACGAGACGGCGCCGACGGCAGTAAACAATAACTGTAACGAAATCATCATGCAATATCGTTGACGAAAAGTGACGAGACGAAAATGTAGTTCACTAAATAAAAACTATGCCAAAATCTCTCTTTACTTTCGTTGACGAAAAATGAGGAGACGAAATATTATCAAAGATAACGTTACATCTCTGATAGTCAGTTTTTCTCCCAGCAGTTCCATTTCCG